GAGAAGGGCGCCCCCTCGGGGGCGGCACCCATGGGATGGCAGGCCCGGCCCCGGGGAGGGGTGCCGCGCAGGGTCCGGCCGGCCCGGTGAGCAGGCGCGAGCGGCGCCGCCTCGGCCCGCAGCCTGCGGCCCGGGGGGGGGCGGTTCGGCGAGGATCCTTCCTGGGGGAGCACCCGGCGCCCGCGGCCAGGCCGGATGGGTGGCGCGGGGGCCCCCTTGGGGGTCGCATGCGGCGCGCGGCGCGGCCAGTTAGGAGTAGTTGTGCTAGTTCTAGCTCGATGCGCTACGTATTCTGGCCACCTCACAAGTTGTTATAAGTAGGTTGCAACTGGCGTAGCTGGCTGCCGGATTTTTTGTAATCTGGCTTCCTGACCTCTATGATTTCCGTGTGCGGATCTCTGTGTTTCCATATGCGGGTTTCTTCTTTTTTTTGTGAAAACAATTCTGCAATTGGGAAGCCTGTCTTCCTACGTTTTTAACAGCCAAATTTCTGGCGTCTGGTTTTCTAATTTCAGAATCCGATGACCAAATCATTGCGCATGCGCAAACCTAAGATGGGGAATCCGTGGAAATCCACTATCGCATATCGTGAGTTCAGGATTCGTGGTTCAGGGATAGGGATGATTGTGGTGGGGGGTCTAGCATGTCATGTGGAACATTGTTGGACTGCATATTGCATTAGTGATTCCATGATGTTGCTGTTCGGCTTCACTTACGTACATGTACTTGCATACATCCTGCGCAAACCCCAGAGACGGGAATCCATTATCGCAATTCGTGATTTCAGGATTCATTGATCTGGAAATATCCAGGGGCCCGGGTGCCTGGGTGCCCGGGTGCCTGGTAGCCTTGTAGCCTTATAGCCCTATAGCCTTATAGCCTTATAGCCTTATAATCCTATAGCCCCATAGCCTTATAGTCCTATAGCCCTATAGCCCTAATAGCCCTATGGCCCGAATAACCTTATAGCCCTATAACCCTATAGCCCTATAGCCCCCCAGCCCTATAGCCTTATAGCCCTATAGCCCTATAGACATATAGCCCTATATCCCTATACCCCTATAGTCCTATAGCCCTATTGGCCCTTAGCCCCATAGCCCTATAGCCCCATAGCCCTATTGCCCAATCGCCATCTAGCCCTATAGCCTTATAGCCTTTACAGCCCTGTAGCCCTATAGCCCTAGAGCTCTATATGCTCATAGCCCTGTAGCCCTACAGACCTGCAGCCCTCTGGTCCTATAGCCTCATAGCCCTATAGCCCTAAAAAGATTATGATCGGGGCCTTTCTCCGGTAACATTGAACTGCTTCTTCTACAGAACAACCCATGTACATGATCACTCCTCCCATGTGCCCATTTCGTTTCGGCATAAAAGTGCCCCTCCCGGGGCTCGCACGACGTTTTTTACACGTGAAAATCTTGCGGCTCAGACTATGCTCCTGGCTCCCGGTTTAAAGCAACAGCGGTTTCCGAGTCATACGTCTTGGCAAGGTATTCCAAAATCTCGAGCTCTCGCGCGGGACTTCTTCAGAATTTGATCGCATTCTGGCGTGGTATTTATTCGCATTTGTTTCAGACGCCACGCCCTCGACACTCAGGAATCAGGCTCTCGCGCGGGCCTTTTCCATGATTTGCTTGGGAATCGCGCTATTGTCCGAGACTTCCTCGCGATTCATGCATGACTCACGCTTCAGCAACCTGCCTGCTCGACCCGGCCGCCTGGGCCCGCCTTCCGACCCGCCGGTTAGGGTCTACCCGTCCGATCTGCCCGTCTGGTTCTGCCACGTGTTTTCTGTTCCAAGCCTCGCTCCTGCTAATCTCTCTCGGGCTCCATCCTTCTCCCTCCCCCGTGTCCGTTCCCTTCATCCGTCTTCTCTTGCCCTGTTTTAGGGGCTGCGCCAAATACGTGTGGCAGGTAAGAAAGATATCTCCCCAAGGGGGCACGATCGAAGACGAAGATGGTGAGTACCGACGATTTGGGATATATGTGATGGGTGGCATGCGAGCAGATTAGAGCGAACAGTTCTAAGATGATTGAACTCCTAGTTCTTAAAAATACTGCTGTCGATCACCGGCCTCAGGATGCGTTGTGAGCCCCTCATCATCATCAGCAGCAGTTCCCGCCTGATGCTTCCTCGCATTTTCTTCAAAATCGCGCGCTCGCGCGGGAGCTGTTCCATAATTGTTTCAGAACTCGCGCTCTCGCGTTGGACTTCCTCCCAATGTATTGAAACGCGCGACCCCAGCACTCAGGAATCGTGCTCTCGCTCTGGGCTTCGGCACGGTTTATTGGATGTACCTTGGAATCGAGTTGTCGTTCGAGATGTCGTCGCGGTTCATGCAGCACTGGCGTTTCCTTGACCCGCCAGCTCGATCCAGCCGTTTGGGTCCAGCCGGCCGTCATGTTCTGCCGCTTGTTTTTCTGTTCCTGATCCCCCTCCTGCTCATCTCTGTCGTGCTCCATCCTTCTCTCTCCCCGTTCTCCCTTCCTCCTTTCCTTAATTTTAGGGGCTGCGCCACATACACGTGGCAGGCAAGGAAGATATACCCCAAAGGGGGTGTGATCGAACACAGAGAAAGGGCGAGTATCGATGGTTTGGGATATATATATATATATATGTTGAGTGACAATCGAGCAGATAAGAACGAGCAGTCTTAACATGTTGATTGGTATTGTTGTTGCTGGTGCTGGTGTTGTTGTCGTTGTTGAATTCCCATTTCTATAGAATAGTTATTGGTGGTCCCCCTCCAGGGCACATTGTGCTTTTTAATTGAAGTGCCCTTTCCAGGGCTCGCACCGTGGTTTTTGCAGGGGAAGTCTTGAGTCTCAGAATTATGTCGTTGGCCCCCGGATTACCGCAACAACAACGGCTCCCGCCGGATTTTTCCTCGCAGTGTATTTCCAAATCGCGCTCTCGCGCTGGATTTCCTCACAATTAATGCAGGAATCGCGCTCTCGCGTGGGACTTCCTCGCAATTGATTCAGACGCCGCGCCCTCGACACTCAGGAATCGCGCTCTCGCTGTGGATTGCCTCACAAGTTATTTGGGAATCGCCCTGTTGCTTAAGAATTCCTCGCGAGTCATGCAAGACGCACGCTTCGGCAACCTGCCTGCTCGACCCGGCCGCCTGAGCCCGCCTTCCCGACCCCCTCGGTCGGGTCTGTCCGCCCGATTTGCCCGTCTGGTTCTGCCACGTGTTTTCTGCTCCTAGCCCCGCTCCTCCTATTCTCTCTCGTGTTCCATCCTCCTTCTTCCTTGTCCCTTCCTTTCATCCGTTCCATCTTCCCCTGCCTCAGGGGCTGCGCGAAATTCACGCTGCAGGTAAGAAAGATTATACCCCCAAGTTGTGGCGATCGAAGGCGAAGAGGGCCGGTATTGAGGGTTCAAGGTATACGTGGTGAATGGCACGCGAGCAGATAAGAACGAACAGTCTTAAATTGATTGGTGATAGTGTTGCTGCCGTTGTTGTCGTGATTTATGTGGTTGTTGTAGTTGCTGGTGGTGTTATTGCTGTTGTTGCTGATGTTGCTGTTGTGGTTGTGGTTGTGGTTGTGGTTTTTGTTGTTGGTGTTGTTGCTGCTGTTGATGTTGTTGTTGCTGTTGCTGCTGGTGTTTTCTGTTGTTGCTGAATTCACTTCTAAGTAGTATGTATTGTTGATCCCCCCTCCTGGACACATCTGTGCTTTTCAGTTGAAGTGTTTCTCCCGTTGCTCGCACCCTGTTTTTTACAAGGGGAAGCGTGGGGTCTCCAAACTGGCTGGCCCCCTGGCCGCCGAGTTACAACAACGGCGCCCGTCCGATGTTTCCATCATGTTTTTCAAACATCACGGTCTCGCGCGAGACTTCCTCACAAGTTATGCAGGGATCGCGCTCTCGAGTGGGACTTCCTCGCAACTACTTCAGACGCCGCGCCCTCGACACTCAGGAATCGCGCTCTCGCTTTGGCCTTTCTCACGATTTACTTCGAAATCGCGCTATTGCTCGAGCTCTCCTCGCGATCCATGCAAGACGCACGGTTCAGCACCACGCCTGCTCGACCTGGCCGCTTCGGCCCGCCTTCCCGACATGCCTGTTCGGCTCTACCCACCCGATGGGCCCGTCTGGTTCTGCCACGTGTTCTCTGCCCTTCGCCCCCCTCGTGCTAATGCCGTGATCCATGTTTCTCCCTTCCCCTTGCATCCGTCTTCTCTTTCCTTGCTTCAGGGGCTGCGCTGTTTACACGCAGCAGATAGGGAAGGTATACCCCCAAGGGGGACGATCGAAGACGACGAGGGCGGGCCGTGGGTTTGGGATATACGGATTGATTGACATGCGAGCAGGTAAGAGCAAACAGTCTTGAATGATTGTTGTTGGTGGTGGTGGTGGTGCTGTTGAGTTCTCATTGCCCATTCTCTGTTGTTCAATAGAAATGCGCCTCCCGGGACCCGCCCCCTGTTTTTGTGCGTGTGCGCGTGTTGAAGCGCAAGCAAGCTCAGGGTGTCCGACGCTTTTGCTGCCAGCCACGTGAAAGTGCAGCTCGGGATCATCACATCTGTCCTCGCGCGCACTGCGTGCCCAGTGTTTTGTGCCATCTGAAACTATCTCTGTCGAGATGTATTGGAAGGTCATGGGCAGTAGAAGATGGATGACAGGCGCTCTGGTGTTACGCGTGTCTGGGAAGGGGCAGCACGTGTTTGTGTTGGTGGCGAATTTGGCAGATGCGGAGTGCAGGCCAGCAGAGATCCACCGTAGTGGTGATGCCAGCGCCTGCGATGAAGGAAACAGTAGCGTCACACGCTGGCGTTGGGGAAGAAAGTGTCGGAGCTGATGCAGTAAGCACGGGTTGAGTGGCACTTTTCGTATTCCGTGAACCGTTATCCTCCCCGAGCTCCTGCACAGCGGACCGCTGTTCGCAGGGGGCGGCCGTCGTGGAAGCGCTTCCAGGCGCCTTCGAGGTCAGCCTCCCCTTCCGTCCGTTCTTTAGCCCCCCCCCCCTGTTGAAGGCTGGGCTCTGTGCCACATGGCGAATTGCGCCGCGCCGCACCGCGTGCACCTCCAATCGTGGCCGGCGCTGGAGGGGCAATTTGGCGAGATGATCTTTTCACCAGTGGTGCGCCAATTTCAATTGCTTGCTGTGTGCTTGCCGCTTCCGCTGGTACTGCTGCCGCTGCTGATCCGACTTTGCCTTTTCCGAGTAGCTTGTGATCATCTTGCCCACCCTCTCCGCTGGTACTGCTGCCGCTGCTGATCCGACTTTGCCTTTTCCGAGTAGCTTGTGATCCTCTTGCTCACCCTCGGTCTCGCGTCCTTTGCACGAAAGAATCCTTTCGTGCAAAGGACGCGAGACCGAGTGCATGCAACGTGTGGTATTCTGATGCATTTAAGTGTCTCCAGGACTGATCTTCTGTCATCAGGCCACGTCCAATGGCCACTTCGAGTAATGATTCGGCTGGGCCAGACTTCAGATCCATGCACGAACTTCTTGTCTGACAGTTTGCATGTTCCCATTGGCGTGCCAACGTCGGCGCGAGGGGCTCCTGCACACGCGATCCTGTTCATGTCGGGCAAGTCAACCTGTCTCTGCATGCAACCTGTCTTTGCAGTCAACCTGCCGTGTTGGATGGTTTGAGACATTAACCTGTCATTGCATGCATCCAGTTCTCCTGCCTGGGGGTCCTTCTGGGGCGCAGCCAGGAGAAGCCGTGAGGTTGTGCATGAGGCCCTTGAAGAGGGGCCTGGGTGGCCCAGGAGGGACGGGCGGGGGTGAGCGGCGCGTGGGGGGGGGGGGCTCGCTCGGCGCTGGCGTCAGGTCCGGGGTGCACAAGAAGTGCATCTCGATTGTTCCCCACCCGGCAGGTTTGGGTCGATAGGTTTCGAAGATAGACCTCCCGACCCGTCCACCCTGCATACCGCGGCCGCCAGATCTTCAGGTCCCCCGAGTGTCCCCGAGACTCGCGCCTCGCGCCACTCTGCATACCGGGGCCGCCAGATCTCCAGATCCCCCGAGTGCCCCGAGAGTCCCACCTCGCGCCGACCAATCATAATATGACGGAGCGGTACTACAAACTAGCAGAACAGAGTGCAGTACATCGTTATAGGCTATGGCAGAACAGAGCATAACACCACATCATCTAACATACCATATCATGTCATAAGATGTCGCAACATAGCACACAATGACGGAGCAGTGCATACATTAGCACTGCATGACAGCACATGGCATATTACAACACGACAAAGCAAGCATACCACAATACCACATCGCAGATCTGAACATACCAATACAGAACATGCCACAGCCTCACATACCATGGCATAGCATTCCATAGCACAACACAGCATACCAGCGCATTGTTTGACAGATCGGAGCACTCGTGCCATAACATGCCATAGCATACCATGGCATGGCAGATACTTGCATACCATACCATGGCAGAACACCACAACATTCCACAGTATCGCAGCACATATAGCATGACAGAAGTCATCGCAGCACATATGAATCATCATAGCATAACAGAACGCGGTATACGATGTCACGTTCTAACGAAACACACCATCGCATACCATCATAGACTATGCCGTACTAGGTCATACATAGCAGCGCGTAAAACCAAACCTCTTACCATAGCATACCATAGCATACCAACACATACTATTACAGAGCATGTCATAGCCTAACATACCATGGCAGATCAGTACACACCGTAGCACATTCTCGAAGCATATAGCATTCCATAAACTGACAAATCATACCATGCCCGAGCGCGGCATAACACATCATACCGTAGCAAACCGTCATATACTTGCACGCCATAGTATGGCAACGCATAACATGTCAAGACATGCGGGAATAGGGCATCTAGAACACACCAGAACAACGCATGTACTGACATCATGGAGCATACGGAGCACACCATACCACCACACAGCATAACAAAACAGGACAACACAAACCAGAGCATAGCGTAGAGAACAGAGCATACTATTTCACCCAACGACGCAACATACCATGCCACGTTACATTGCCACAGCATTTCATAACATGACAACGCATGCCATGACGGATCTCGACAAATCATATATCAACTTAGGAAGACATACGAGAGATAATCAAATACCATGTCGTTTCAGAACAGAGCATGCCAGAACGCACCACCGAGAACAACAGAAAACATAGCAATGCATACCATGACATAACGGAGCATAGTGGGGTATATCATCACATGTCATAGCAGAGCCTACCAGACATGTTTTATTATGGCTATCACGGCGGCCACGCGTGGACTCAAACATCGTAGGTTTTCCCATGTTGTCGAGGACAGCACAACATAGCATAATGAAATGAACAGAGAACAGGACAACGTAACCAGCATACCATAGCATATGTCCTTCACTAATGATACTTCTACGGCAACGAGACATACACCATGCACCATGCCTTCATTGAAGAGGTAGGTCACAACAAACAGGGCACCATATACTGCAATACAAGCAGCATCGCGTCAACATCATCACTGATCAACATGTACCATAACACAGTTTGCATAACATACCGTGTTCTAACACAGTGCCACAGATCAGCAGAGCATACGTTAGAACAGTACAAGCCGCACGTGAAGAGGAACATCCTCACGTAATACACCGCACTGGAATATTATCAAATGCGACGTAGCAGAGCCTACCGGAAATGTTTTATTATTGCTATCACGGCGGCCTCGATTGGACTCAAACATCGTAGGTTGTCCAGTGTTGCCGAGGACAGCACAACATAGCATAATGAAATGAACAGAGAACAGAGGACAACGTAACCAGCATACCATAGCATATTTCTTTCACTAATGGTACTTCTACTGCAACGAGACATACACCATGCACGATGCCTTCATTGAAGAGGTATGCCATAACAAACATGGCACCATATGTTGCAATACAAGCAGCATCGCGTCAACATCATCACTGATCAACGCGTAACATAACACAGTTGACCTAACATACCGTGTTTAACACAGTGCCACAGATCAGCAGAGCATACGTTAGAACAGTAAAAGCCGCACGCGAAGAGGATCATCCTGACGTAATACACCGTACTGAAATATTATCAAATGCGACGTGCGCGCCGAGGGCAGGCTGGCCACTGGACCAAACAGGCGGAGCATCGACCGCTTGGGCGGCGTATCACACGTGACAGGCGTCACGACATCACGGCAGATTGTCATTACTTCCAAATTTATTTCTACATTACTGCTGCTGCTATTGCTTCTCCTCCTACTGCTTCTTCATAACTCTTTTGGAGTCTCGCACCACGCGTTTTGGAGATTGTGCTCTGCCTCAGAGCTTGTTTCGGCGTCTTTCGTCAGGAGCTCCGGGGCCGTTAGATTTCAGGAAGCGGCAACTTGCGACTTGATTAGACCACCGCACTGACCGACACCACCGTGCCACGCGCACATCGTGCCAATCAGCGATCGGCGCGAGTACCGTCGGGACCAAACGCCGGAGGTTACGGTAGGGATCACTCGAAGCAACCTATTTGGTTTTACACATTGTTGTAAACAAACACGGGGGATGCGTTTGCGGTGGGTGTTTGTTTGATTTGGGCATGCGTCGAACACAGCACAGCCATAGTTGCGTCTTCGCGGGTTGTGGCATTGAGGCGCATACGTGCAAGCATGATCAATTCAATTATGCGTGTGTGGTGGCTTGGATGCAGGCGTGTTTCACACGAAGGCGTGGACGAAGCTAGATGTCTTGGGAAATCCGATCCGCGCTAAGATGTACGCCCAAACTTACGAGTCAATTCCGAGTAACAACGTGCGTGCGTCAATGTCTGTTGACGCCAGCCTCTACACATATGTGCTCACACCCACAGGGCGTAGCAACCCAGACAAGCAACCAGCTTAGCAAGTATATTGTTGCTTGCGGCACACCGAGGGGGGGCTGCGGGTGGTGGGAGCGTCGGTTCTGGCCCAGAAAGGGTTCCAAGGTGGTACCACGGAGCCCAATATTGCCACTACTGTTCATCAAGACTACCCAAGTCATCTCAGCCCTCCTCCCTCTTTTCTGTCTCCGCCCCTACTTCCCTTTCCCCCTCGTTGTCGGCGTCGTCGTCGCAGGCGCAGAGCTTGGAGGAGTTGGCGCGGTGCCCAGACGATGCCCAGGCCCGCTCTGCCCTGGTTCGAAACCCCTTCGCGCGAGCTGCATGGAGCGGGTATCGCTGGGCTGCTCCACGGAGCCGTCGTGGCTCGCGAAATCGGTGGCACCGCTCAGTATGGTAGGTAGGGTATGCCAGAGGAGCGGGGAGGAGCAGAAGGACGAGGGTGGGACTCATTCGATCCCGGGGTGATGAGGCTGTGAATGTCTGTGTCCAGACGATTCGCTGAATTGAGCGCTTGGACAACTCGATTGCTTGAGAAGCTCAGAAGGCTTCCGCGGCTGTGTCCGCTGCCGCAGCCATCCTGAAGCTCTGAATCTTCCTGTGGACGTTTCCAGCCGTCTCTGACAATGAGGTTGCACAACTCGGAATCTTCACGGCTGGTAAGCATCATCTCCGCGCGATTGTCCACTGTTGAAAGCCAAGATCGATCCTAACGTTTGTTCTGCGCCTGTCTCATGGGAAGTGGGATGGGACTACACATGGGGAGGGGGAGGAGGAGCAAGAGGAGGTTAGGGGGACATGCTACTATGGAGGTGAGGAGGAGGACGGAGCGGAGAGGAAAGCGGAATGCAGTCATGAGGGAGACGAGGAGATTACGGACGAGGATGTGTAAGAGAAGGCACCGGAGGACAACGACGGGGAGGATGAGTAGGAGGAGGGAGTGCCAGAAGGAGCCTGATTTGAGGGTGCCCCAGGCTGACACGGTCGCCCAGGGCATGCAGGCGTTGATCACCAGGCTGGACTTAGACTTCCTCGGCCCGCATTACACGCGGGTCCCGCTCCAGCGGGCAGTCAAAGAGGGGCAGCCGAGCCAGTCCAGGGGACAAACATATGTTCCAGTGCTGCTTCGCGCACATCACGGGTCATTCCAATGGGGGACGTCCCATAGTGGGGTCGTTCATCCTCGTCCTTCGTCCTCCCTCTTCGCCCCCCGCATCGTTTTCTTTCTCACCCCCTGCTTCTAGGGTTGAGATGTTGTTTGATTGTATGGCAGGAGCTGATGCCTTCTCGATGATGCCTACTGTTGCTAGGATGAGTACATTTCCTCGCCCAGGCGAAATATATGGCAGCACTGCGCGGAGATAGCTGTCGAGAAGTACATACAAGATTGGCCTCGGTTGGCCAGGCACGTTAAGCTGGATGCTCGAATCCCCCCAGGCGGTGCTCTCCTTGAGCATACCTGGGGCAACAAGGGTCAGTCCCTGAGTTTACCTGGGATGCAGCGCACATCGGCCACCGAGCTTTTGAGAAGCTGCGTAATTAAGAACGCTGCGGTGTCGTTGTGTGGTTGGCGCGATGCCTCGCGGGGACTTCTTCGGGACCTCTCCCTTGGAGATCGTTGAAACGTCTGGTTCGGGTGGAGCCGTCTGGGGCGGTCTTGACCGTAACTCCGGGGCCGTCCTGGCCAGTCTTGGATCATCTTGAACCCGTTTTGAGCCAGTTGGGGGTCGTGGACCACCCTTCCGAAGTGGCCTTGGCGCTGCCTCGAGGCCCGTCTTCAGCGCTCGGGCTGGCAGAGCTCTTTGGCCTCCCTAGGGGGGCCTCGGAGGTGACCTCTTGGGGTCTTGGCGGCTTAGGAAATCTCTCGAGCGCCAGGGGAAGCCTGGCGCGGTCTTGGGGGGTCGGATGGCAGCCTGACGGCTCTTGTGAGCCCATCGCGCGAAGACGCTAAGCTGTCTCTTGGGCCATCGCAGGGCTGTGGCAGAACTACTGGAAGATCGCGGGGAGCCTTCAGAAGCCGAGGGGCTCCGGAGTTCCCTCATCTACACTTCAGGCCGAGTCACATCGGCATCCGAAGCCACAGGCCTGGTGCTTACATCGACATCTCTTGGGGTAGACTTGGTTGGAGGCTTCCACTAGCACCGACGAGTATTGCACCTGACCTGAGGAGCAGCAGTCGTTTGAAGCTTAGCATGCTCTCTAACTAACCACGTGTTCGGCTGTGTTCTGCACATGTGTTCGTTAATCACTTGTTTTGTGTCCGGCGAAGCAATCACTTGTTCGGGTCGTTGTTCGGCAAATCACGGCTGGCTGTGATCACCGGATCCGGCACGTGTTCGTAAGTGTTCGGTTGTGTTCCCAGTGTTCGGGAATGCGCTTATCAGCGCCCCTGCGTCTCCTTGGCGAGGATGCTGCGTCCGCCCCAGGGTCTTTTGCAGCCCTGGGGGTCGGGGCCCAGCCCTGGAGGACGCTTTCGGTCCTGGGAACCTCGAAAAAAAAACGTGTCCCGAACAGTTTATGTTGGTGCTTTTCGCAGCCTCGGGGTTTAGGCCCAGCCCTAACCGACGTTTTCGGGCCTGGGGACCTCCAAAATATTGCTCGGGCTCCGAGAAATATATATATATATATATATATATATATATATATATATGTTGGTGCTTGTCGCAGCCCCAGGTGTCGGGGCCGAGCCCTGGAGGACGCTTTCGGGCTTGGGACACTCTGAAAAACAGTTCTCGGGTCCCGAAAAATGTGCATTCGTGCTTTTCGCAGCCTCGGGGTTTGGGCCCAGCCCTGGCCGACGTTTTCGGGCCAGGGGATCTCCAGTACAATTTTTTCGGGCCCCGAACTTTTTATTTCAATTTTTTAGTGTTTTTGTGCAGCCCTGGGGTTTGGGGCCCAGCCCTGGAGGATTATTTCGGGCTTGGGAACCTCCAAAAACTCTACGGGCACCGAATCGTTTATTTTGGTGCTTTTCGCAGCCCCAGGGTTTGGGCCCAGCCCTGGACGACGCTTTCGGGTCTGCAGGACCTCCTCAACAATTTTTCGGACTCCGAAACATGTATTGAAGTGTTTTTACAGCCCTGGGGGCCAGGAACCCAGCCCTTGACGACAGTTTCAGGCCTGGGGATGCCCCGCGCAGCCCTGGAGGACGCTTTCGAGCCTGGGAACCTCTGAAATAAGTTTCCGGTCACGAAAATTCTATACCGGTGCATTTCGAAACCCCGGAGTTTGGGCTCAGCCTTGGGCGAAGTTTTCGGGCCTGCCCCAAAATCATCTCCGGGCCCCGAACAGTTTATAATCGCTTCGCTCATTCCGCCGGCCCTGGAGCGCCTCTTGGGGCCGTCTTGGGGGCCTCTCGGGGGCTTCTTGGGAGCGTCGTGGGGCTCCTCGGCGGCGTCTTGGGCTCCCCATGGGGCCTCTTGGGGGGCTCGGGGCCCCTTGGGGCGGGAGGGGGGAGGTAGTCGATTGCAGCCACCCCCTCGGAGGCCACGATCCTCGTGAGGGGTGGCGAAAAATAGCCTCCGCCCTGGGGATCGCCCGGGACCCGGCCGGGGATCAGCCGGGGTACTTTTCGTTCGGGGGCCCCCAGGGGGCCGCCCCGCGCCCGCGAAATGGAAATATTGTGAAGTAGTTACCGGAGATCTTAGCACGCCTCTGGCCCGTTGGGCCGGCGAGTTTTCCCACATCCAAAGTGGGTGTTTTGTTTTCTGTGCACACCCCTCGCGCAGGATCGCTTCTCCCCCCTCCCTTCCTCCTCCTCCTCCTCCTCCTCCTCCTCCTCCTCATCCTCATCATCATCATCATCATCATCATAATCACACACTCTCACACACTCACACTCACACACTCACTCCCCCTCTCTCCGCCTCCCTCACTCACTTCATCGTCATCACCCATACACTGACTCACACCCACACTCATTCACTCACGCACTCACACTCACTATCATGATCACCATCATGATCACCATCATTCGATCACTCCCCCACTCTCTCACCACTCATCATCATCATCATCATCATCATCATCATCATCATCATCATCATCATCATCATCATCATCATCATCATCACCCACTCACTCACCAGCATCACCACTCACTCACTCATCACTTCGTCATCACTCACTCCCTAGCTTGAATTTGGAGAAAGTGTCAAGCGGGAGCTTCGTCTGTGAGTGAATTGTGGGGAATTATCAGGCGGGAGCCCTCTCCCTATGGGTCCCGCACTTCACGTTGGTAATCCCAGCGGGTCATCCTCAACCCTGTAACCGTCGTCACTTTGGGATTCATGAGGCGTGACTATGTAGGAAGTATCAGGCAGCGCCTCTTGTGTGCTTGTGTGAGTGCATTGTGAGGAAGTCTCAGGCGGGAGCCCTCTCCCTGTGGGTCCCGCACTACATTTTGGTAATCCCAGCGAGTCAACCTTAACCTTGTAACTGACGTCACGCTTGGGCCCCTGAGGCTTGAATATGTAGGAAGTATCGGGCGGCAGCTTCGCTGGTGAGTGAATTGTGAGGAAGTCTCAGGCGGGAGCCCTCTCCCTATGGGTTCCGCATTTCACATTGGTAATCCCTGCGGGTCATCCTCAACCTTGTATTTGTCGTCATTTGTGGGCTCCTGAGGCCTGTATGTGAAGGAAATATTAGGCGGCAGCCTCTTTTGTGAGTGAGTTGTGAGGAAGTCTCAGGCGGGAGCCCCCTCCCTATGGGTCCGGCACTTCATGTAGGTAATCCGACCAGGTCATCCTCAACCTTGTAACCGTCGTCACCATTGGGCTCCTGAGGCCTGAATATGGAGGAAGTATCAGGCGGCAGCTTTTTTTTTGTCTGAGTGCATTGTGAGGAAAACTCAGGCGGGAGCCCCTTCCTCAGCGGCCTGCGGGGTTGTCCTGAAGGCATGACCCGCGGGGCTGTCCCAAAGGCTTCGCGAACCAGCCGTCTGCGAACGCGCGCGCGCGCGCTGGGCGAGACGGCGACGGCGCCCAGGAAACTAGATATGCTTGCCCCGACCAGGGAGAAGTGGGGGAGCACATGGAGAAGAAGCACGCGAATGATGAGGACGGGGAAGGAGTAGGGAGAGGGTGATGATGATGAGGAGGAGGTGGAGAAGGAGGAGGAGGAGGAGGAGGAGGAGACATATAGTAAGGAAGAGGAGGAGCAATATAAGGAGGAGGGGGAGGATGAGGATGATAGGGCAGAGCAGAGGGCGAGAGGAGGGTGTCCGCCAGGGCGAGGAGGGAAGGCCTAAGGGCAAGCCAGACAGATGCTCATGTGGGGTCATTCCGTCGGAGTCATCTGGTCTTTTTCGCAGCCCCGGAGGTCGGGGCCCAGGGGGGGCCGACCCCCAGGGCTGCGAAATGCAGATACATCGCTCGGGCCCCAAATCTGTGTGGTGGAGGCTTCCAGGCCCGAAAACATGCTCCAGGGCGGGGCCCAACCAGAAAAAAAATCCCGGGGCCCGAAAAAAGCTTTCGCAGAGAACCCCGAGCCCGAAAGCGTCCTCCAGGGCTGGGCCCCGACCCCCAGGGCTGCGAAAAGCACCAACATGTATATACATATATATATATATATATATGTGTATCTTTCTCGGGGCCCGAGCAGCTTATTGTGGTATCCCCATGCCAGAAAATGGCATCCAGGGCTGGGCCCCGAACCCCGGGGCTGCGAAAAACACCGATGTACTTGCTGGGGGGCCTGAAGCGTTTTTGGGGATGTCCTCAGACCCGGAAGCGCTCCCCAGAGCTGAGCCACGGCCCCGGATTGCGGAAAACACCAAGACATTGCTTTGGGGGCGAAGAGTTTGTTCTGGAATTCCCGAGGCCCGAAACCGTCCTCCAGAGCGAAGCCCTGACCCCAGGGGCCGCGAAAAAAAATACAAATAAGTGTTTCGGGTCCCGCAGAGTTGTATGAGGCTCCTGGGCCCGAAAGCGTCCTCCAGGGCTGGCCCCGCAGTGTTCGGTTGATCGCGGTGTTCGGCATGTGTTCGGGTCTCGCGCCTCACATCGCTTGTTCGGGTGTGCTCGTGTGATTTGTGTTCGGTCAAAGGTTTGCCAAGTTATGTGGTTGGTGCTCGGCCAGAATAAAGGATTTTAAACGGAATCACGCTGAACGCTGTGATTGGTGTTCGGCCGCGTGCTAACGTTTGAAACGAAACCAATGCGCAAAGCGCGGGGGTGGACTCTGGGCCCCACATCTAGGCTGCCCACGACCCGACGGGGTCGTCTCCTTGGGCAGGTCGGATCAACTGTCGCAACGGCCTACAAACAACAGCTTGTTCGCCACGTCGGTCCATGACTGCCGGTCGAGGCATGACCAGCATCTGGAGCGTTATCGCATTTGCCTCCCCTCACCCTGCTTCCTCTGGCCCCTCTAAATTTCCACCTCCTGAACAGCATATGTCAAATTCACATGTAGATGGGCGAACGACTTTTTACGGAAAGGCCCTCGACGCGCGACGGCCCTATGAAAGAGGGAATTCGGTGATCCTGGACCAGGGGGTAACGTCGTCGCCAAGCGAATGAATCAAACAAACCAAGCGTTCAAGCGATAGGGTAGGCCGTTTCGTGCTATGCACGCGCGCTCGAGTTACGAAGAGTGTTCTTGGGTTGCGGTGACGGCTAGAGGTTCTGATCGTGGCGGCGCCGTTCCAGAGTCCAGCGTTACTTGGTCGCCTTTTTTCCGGTCTGGAGTTCAGACACCAGAGAGCGCGCGAAGCTTCATGAAAAGCGCCACTGTTCCGTCGAACTGACAGCTTACTTTCTCTGCCGGGCGTGTCCACCACAGCCATGCCGAGATGGGGGAGGGTGGGGGCTTGGGGGGGGAAGGCTGGGGAGGTTGCGTCGATCCCCCCCGCCAGGAGCTTCGTTGTCTGTATCGTGTTTCAGGAGGGGGGCCCGAGAACGTGGGGACCTCGAGCAAACACACGCCTTGCTTCGAGCCGTTCTCGTGCGAGACGAGGGCTGCACTGGCTCTTGCGGCTCCGATGCGGCCGCACTCGGCCGTGGAGGTCTTGCTGCGCCATATGGGGTGCGTCGACCCGGCCTCCTTCGCGGCGGAGGAGGGCCGCGCCAGCGCGGCGGGGGAGCCTGCGGGCGCGCCGCGCGACGAGGAGGAGGCCCAGGGCCAACACAGAAGGAGGAGGATCAGGGGGCCGAGGGGGTGCCCCAGCGCCTTTGCGGTGCGACGCTGCGATGTACTAGTGGGTGCCCTTGCCTCGATGTAGTGTTGCGCCGTTGCGGTGCACGCTTCTGCGTCTAGTCCACACTTCCGCAGCACAGCAACGCGAGGAATAACAGTGGGCCTCATCTGCGCATCCTCTTTCTGCTACAGGCATACCTCTGCTGTGCCACGCTTTGAAGAAATGCACTGCCGTGTTGTGAATCAGCAGTCCAGCATGGCGAAACGTATCGCGCAGCATCGCCCAGCGGATCATGGAATAGCAGCGTTGCATGGTAGAAAGCGCGCGCTCGCAGCGACTGGCATACTACAAGGGGGTCCCCGGCTTGCGGCTACCCCCCTCCCCCCTCCCTTGCTAAAGGGGTGGCCCGAAAAGGGGGCGTGCATCGAACCTCCCACACACCCCTCTCTCTTTTTGATAACTAAAACAGAGGTCAGCCCGGGCTCCCCTTTCAGAAGAGGGGGGGCTTCGGAAGCTACCCCCCCTTCCTCCCTCCAAGTGGCCGGAAAGGGGGGGGCTTCGAAGCTACCCCCCTCTCTGCTTTTTAGTAGCCGGAGCTCAGCCCGAGCTTCCCTTTGCAACGGGGGGGGGCTCGGAAGTTGACCCCCTCCTTTTTCCTTTCGGAGGGGAGGGAGTGAAGGAGGGGAGGGAGGGGGATTTCATTGCAATGGATTGGTTCTCTTTCACGCACAGGATGTGGCACACGTTGTTCGTTGTATGTTCTTTACTATCCAAGTGTTTTTGGTGCTTCAAAATGGTGTTCCCAGTGCACCATGGGTTTCAGATTCGGAGCAGTGCTTTGCTCCCGTTCAGGAGGGCGCTCTCCCAGCGCGGGCCACTTCTCTGAATTCGAGTCCTTCCTCATTGCTGTCGCCCCTCTCCTTTCCCCTCCTCCGCCTTCCCCTGGTCCTCCTGCTCCTCCCGCTCCTTGCACTCCAGTTCCCCTCCTCCTTCATCATTATCCTCCTTTTACTCTTGCTGGCTGTGCCCATGCGTCTTGTCCTCCTGCTCAGCTCCCCTGCCGATTTCGCATGTCACGATGGGGTCGTTTTGGTGGGGTCGTTTTGGGAGTTCCAGGTCCGCTACAGCATGTCGCCGTGGATAGAGGAACCATTCAGCGCCATGGGGAGAGATGGGCGGGAGGGGCAGGATGTCAGACATGGCGCGGGGCGGGCCCAGCTCGTCCCTGCCCCCTCACCCCCCCCTGCTGCCCGTCCTCCCTCCCCGCCTCCCCCCGTCCTCCCTCCCTCCGCCTCCCTCCGCCTGCCCGTCCTCCCCCCCCCCCGCCCTCCCTCGCCGCCGCCCCCTCGCAGACCCCCCCCCTCCTGCTCCCTCGGATGGGGGGGGGAGGCAGCGGCGGGCGACGGGGCCCTTCGCCTCCCCGCCGGCAGGCTGGCCTGCCGCCCTGGGGCCTCGCGGGCCGCGCCGCGGTGCGGGCCCGCGCGGGCGCGGCGAGGGCGCGCCGCCCGTCGGGGGCTGCCGCCGCCCGTCGTCGTGCTGGACCGCCCGCTCCTCCGAGCCCCAAGAGGGGCCCGAGAGAGGCAATTTGAGCTGGCACTCCGAGCCCTCCGCCCGAAGAGGACCCCCGAGACCGCCAGCAGGTGCCCAAGAAGCACCAAAGAGGCTCGAAGAGGCCCCCAAGAGGCCATAGAGGCAAGAGGCAGCAAAAGACCCCCAAGAGGCCCCAGCAGAAGTTGGCTCGTCGGCTCCGGTCGCCGACTCTGCCTGCTCGGGCAGGGCCCGTGCCGGATCCACAGCGGAGCCCCAGCCAAGTCCCTCCCTTCCGCAGCCTCCCCATCCCCAAGGCGCTCCTCCCCCCCCCCGCCCAGGGGGGCGATAGAAGGGGGGCATCGTGGGCCGTCTTCGAGGCTGGAGACCGGAGCGGCGAATGTGGCAAATTTGCAGAGCAGCAGGGATTGCAACATTGTGTGCTATTCTAGATTCTCTGCGTATCTACACTAGCCCATCCAAAACGATGCCCAGGAGGAGTTGCCTGGAGGAGGTACGTAGGTAAGCCGAAAGTGAGGCTATGAGATCGCAGTGGAACGGAGAGCCCCACACTGGGAAATCGGTTTCGGTTTCGTGTTCGTGTCGCGCGTGCGGGCGAGCTAGAGGAATGCTGCGAGGAGAATGGAGAGGACTGCGGCGAGGACTGCGAAGCTGCGTGGGCGTGCGAGAGGAATGCTCCCGCCGTCGCTAGGACGATTCGGATGCAAAAGTCCTACCCTCCTGTTGGCGCGCGGTTGTTGGGAGTGTCCCGCCGTGGTGTCTCGCGGTGTCCCGATGGTGCCCCGCGGTGTCTCGCCGTGGGCGCGCGGGAGGAATGATCCCGCCGTCGCTAGGACGATTCGGATGCAAAAGTCTTGCCCTCCGATGGGCGCGCGGTGACTGGCCGTGGTGTACCGAGGTGTCCCGATGGCGTCCCGCGGTGTCCCGCCGTGGTGTTCCGCTGGTGTCTCGTGGTGTCCCGTGGTGTCCCGTGGTGCCCCGCGGTGTCCCAAAGGTGTCCCGCGGTGTCCCGCGATGTCCAGTGGTGTCCTGCCTTGCTCCGCGGTGTTCTGCTTTGGTGTACCGATTGTGTCCCGATCGATGTTAAGATCAATTATAAGATCGATAACGACCGGGATGTGGTGAGATCAGTAGTGTGATCGATAGTTGGATCGATAGTGAAGTCGATCGTGAGATCGGTGGTCGCATCGGTCGTGCGAGCGGCAGTGATCTCGATTGTGGAATCGACCGCTTCATCGAACATGCAATCGATAGTGAGGTCGATAGTGCGATCGATTGCGAGATCGACAGTAATATCGATAATGGGATCGATTGTGAGCTCGATGTTGAGATCGATTGAGATCGCTTCAGAGGTCGAAAACTGACATCGGTGGTAAGATGGTTCGAGTGATATCGATAATAAGATCGATCGTACGATCGATTGTGAGATCGGTTGTTTGATCGAGTGTATGATCGATAGCGGGATCAGTTGAGTGAGACCGTTAGTGAGATCGATAGTGGGATCAGTTGCTAGACCGATCAAATGGGATCGGTAGTGAGATCGATTGTGGGATCGGTTCAGTGCGCTTTCCTGTCAGTGCGCTTTCCTGGTTCCAGTCCTAGCGACGATTCATCGCATTGCAACCACCGCGCCCAGTGCGATCTACCGCGATCACACCCACTGCAGTAGCCAGCAGTCGGTACCTTCCTCTCTCCCCGACCTCCTTATCACCCGAAGGGTAGTCGCATAGGTATGGTATAGTGAGGCTGTGGGGCCAACAGTTGTGAAATTTGAGACATGGGGGAGCCCATTGGAGCCATCCCAGGGCCATCTTTAATGTCGGTTGGGCGCTCTTGGGCCCAGTTTTGGGTCCCCTTGGGGCTCTCTTGGGGACCTCTTGGGAGCCTTGAGGGGCCACGCGCACACATGCCACTTGCCGTAGGCTGCTCGTTTAGCCAATCACTTCCCTCACCAAACTGGGCAAGAGCAATTGCAGCACAACATGTCGACAGCTTAAGGGCATACTTCGGTGATGGGCTCATGTCCTTCGCTCCCGAATCCCTTCGCTTGCGTGTCGCCTCTGCGTCTCGCTGGTCGGGTTGTTGGATGGTGTGTGTGTGTGTGAATTTCCTTCCTACCTTTCCTGCCCCTTTACTGTACCGCTGTCTCTTTCGGCTCAAGGTATTGGCCTGCACACACGACTGACGGACTTGTGGAGAAGGGTAAAACCTTCATCATCGTCTTTCCATTCACCGCTACCGTCTGTACCAACGGATACTCAGGAGGGGATCGGCCCTTCTGTACACTCGGGAGGGGATCGGACCCCCATGCCGATGCCGCACCGAAAGTAGTTGATTGTTTTTTCGTTCCCAGGCAGAGCAGTACAGACACCCCCTGCTCCCCGCTCCCTTCTTTTGCTGGCAGCGTTCTGCTCATGTCACATCGCGTGGCCTTCCTGCGCCGCGTGGCCACATGTTTCCTCGTCCTTGGCCTTCTCCGTGCGCCCAGCGGTCGACAAAGGCAGACGCTCTCTGCTATGTGTGCCAGCAAGCGGGGCGGCCTCGACTGCAGGAAGATTAGGATAATTCGGTAGTTGATGGTTGGACCTCTTGAGAGGCACACGGGCGTGTTCAAGCCTCAGAGGTGATGTTGTTGAAGTGCCGCAGCCGTGAATGATGCCTCCCACTTCAGTGCCGCGCTTGAAGTTGTGGCCTTTGCTGAAGGCCGGGCAACGCCAGGCCCTTTACGCCCCTCTCTCGCGCCCCCGGTGCAAGCGCGACAATATGCAGAGCTGTGCTGCTTTGCCTGTCACGTTGTCTAGGGTGTAAACTGAGTCGTTTTGTCATGCTCCTTGTTCTTCTTCTCTGCCACGCTTCGCCGAAGCTGAATCACTCTGGAGCGACGTGGACCCAGTGCAAAAAGGTTGAGATTGGGTGAGAGGTTGCCAGGGTCTCGTGCGGGTTGTTGTGATGTCAGTTCCCTCTTCGCTTGTGCGACCCAAGTGGCTTACTCCATTCCGCCGACCCCTAGTAACAGTGAGTTCGTCAAGAGTCGTGCCAGCGTGCCTGGACTGTGGGTCAGGAGCCTCGGAGATGCGTACGAGGATCTCTTGGAATGTCTCTTAGGGGCCTCTTAGAGGGATCTTTGGGGCATCTGATTGGCTTTGTGTGGCCTCTCGGGGGCCTCTTGGGGGCCTCTTGGATGCCTCTTGGAGGCCTCTTAGGGCCTCTTGGGGGGCGCCTCGGGGGTCACTGGGGTGGTATTGAGGCCATCGCGTATGGAAAGACTAGAGGTGTCAGTTCGTATTGCCCCTCTTGGGGCCTTCCTGTGCCGTCTTTTGGGTCCATGGGGCCGTCTTGAGGCCCTTCTGGGGCCCTCTTGGAGTTCTACTTGGTAGTCTTAGGATCCTCTTGGGAGCCTCCTGGGCCGTCTTGGGACGATTTTGGGGGCTCTTTGGGCATCATGAGTGGTCGCTGTCAAAACGACACAGGCGTGTGTGTGTGTGTGCGTGTGTGCGTGTGTGTGTGTGTGGTTGCCCAGGGGACATTTGACGATCTGTGCCTCTTGGGGCCCTGTCGGCGGCCCTCTCGGAGCACTCCTGGGCCGCCTTGGGCTCCGCGTAGGCGCTCTTGAGGCCATCCTGGACCGTCAAGTAGCTGCCCTGGGCCGTCTCGACGCTCTCTTGGACGGTCTCGGCGCGCAGTGCTGTCTTGAAGCTCTTTTGGAGGCTCCGGAGAGCCCCCAGGGTGCGTTGGCGAGCACGTCCCCCCCCCCGGCACCCGTCCCCTCTAATGCGATGTTTGACCCCAAGGGAAAGGGGAAAGGGGGAGGGGGGCAGCGAATCATCTCACACGCCTTCTCAGCTCTGGCAAGCGGGATGGTTGGCCTGCACGCAGCAGGCAATGTGCCAGCCCCCCGCCGTACCCGTGCCAAAAACGAATGCAAAGTGATCGCGGGGCGTCCGCGCATGATCCAGATCTTGGTGCAAAGTGTACTTCGCTATCTTTTTTGCGAGTGATGTCTGGGGAGTGTTGTCATTGCGTACAGCGGGCATTGACAGCACGCCCCCGTCCAGGCCAAGCACCAATGCAATCTTATCGAGGGGGGTCCGCGCATTATTTTGTTTTTTGTGTAAAGTGGGCTTAGTTTGCAAGGGATGGTGGGGGGTGTTGGCATTGCACACAGCAGGAAATATGCCGCCCCCCCGCCGTACCTGTCAACAACTAATTCGACGTGATCAAGGGGCGCCCACGCATGATACAGATTTTGGTGCAAACTGCACGTCGTCTTATTTTTCAAAATGGATTGCGGGGAGGGCGCATTGTCTTGGGTTTGTCGCCAGGCGGGAGGGGGAGGGGGTGTATATTCATAAGGAACAGTGATCAAGTTCCCCGCCAGACGGCCACAAGCTGTCTCGGTCACTCACAGTCGCCCTCCCACCACATACGTAGCACCCGAGTCCCAGCATAGGCTGGGGCCGCCATTGACAACCATCGGGAACCATCGGATGCAGACGCTGGCCAGGTGCGCGAAGCCCACGAGGTGCGCCTCGCATGGCGGGTGCGATACGCGCACCAGGTCTGCCACATTCGGCAATACGTCGAGCCCCTCACCACCCCTGCCACAAACCACTGCAAAGTGAAGGCGGTTTCGCGAGTAATGTGCATTGCGTGTGGGTGTGCACCCGTAATCACTTAGCATGTGTTTTTGACAGGGATCTTAGGCGTGCGCGCAGCAGACAGTATGCTGTCCTCCCCCGCCCAGTCCTTGTCGGAACCCAATGCAAAGTGATCGCGGGGCGTCCTCGCATGATCTAGACTTTGTTGCAACGTGCACTCTGTATTGTTTGTTACTAGGGATGTTGTGGGGGTGTTGGTATTGGCTCAGGTTTGTCGCTATTCGGGTGGGGCAGGGCCAATATGGGCGTGTATAAGCAGCAGTGATAAAACCCTCCCCGAAGGGGAAGACGGAATGCGGAAGGGATGCTCCTTCAGGCACCTGGCGCCGTAAAGGGCTGGTGGGATCCCAGAAATGTCAGCAATGTCGAGTGCCCTTGGCGCTCAACAGGCCCCTGAACGGCCACAGGATAATCCGGAAGGCTCCATGAGCTTGCTCGAGGCTGTTCCTCACGCGACAGAACGCTTACTCTGGCCCCTGGAGCTTGCTGGGAGCGGCGCCGCTTGTGAAACACGTATATTTGCGGCTGTCCCTTGGGCAAGCGGCTTGCTGGAGGCTGCCCCACGCGGGAGAGTGCACAACCTCGAATCCGTTTGCCCACCCCTGAGATCCGACGCTGCAAACAAAAATGCAACATCGCCCCGGACCCTACCCTTCTGCGGCATCCTTCGAGCCGGATGGGTCTGTGATGGCCCCGGGGGGTCGGGACTCGCCGAGAGCACCTCGTGCGAAAACATGGCAGTGCCCAGATCTTATTTGGACACCCGAAATGGGTACCGAAAGAATGGGTACAATGCCCAACAACAAATGTTGTCCCAAAGCAACAGCGGCCGCTGTTGGGCAGGCGACCTCCTGTCTCGAATGGACACAGGCCGCGGCGGCGTGGACAGCGAGTCCTGTTCAAAATGAACAGGAACTGCTGTTGGGCATCGTACCCATTCTTTCAGTACCCATTTCGGGCGTGCAAATCTTAGGGTCGTGCGAGTCTTCCGGCGGGCTCCGCGCTCCAGCTCCGACATGGGGCGACCCATCGCGGAGCGAGGCCCCGGCCAGGTGCGACGCGGCCGCGCCGCCGTGTGCGGCGCGGCGCGCTGCCTCGATCCCGATCTGATTCCCCCTGCCCCGACGGCGCGCCGTGGGGCGCCTCCTCCTCCTTCTCTTCCTCCCTCCTCCTCCTCCTCCTCCGCCTCCTCCTTCTCTTCCTCCCTCCACCTCCTCCTCCTCCTCCTCCTCCTCCTCCTCCGCCTCCTCCTCCTCCTCCTCCTCCTCCTCCTCCTCCTCCTCCTCCTCCTCCTCCTCCTACTCCCTCTCCTACCAAACTATGGCAGAGGTGGGCAGGTCCAGCCTTGGTGTCTTTTGTGTTGGTCGCACTGCCTGGCCCCAGCTGCGACCGCTCAGGTGGCCCCCGGATGCTTTCCCATCGCGCTGCTGCTGCTTGCGGCGCGCGTGTCTCATCGTGTTCGTTCGTCCGTGAATCGCGCGTTTGGGATGGCCCTCCCGAGGCGCAGCCGATTTCGCGATCTGCCGTTTGTTGTTGCTTGCGTGGGGGTAGATCGCGGAGCGAGACCCACTTTGAAGGAGGCCGCATGGGGATATCAGGATCAACGTCAGGGGGGGATAGGTTCAGGGGTGGATGCATCGGCCCCCAATCGCATATTGATCGCCGACAGGGGCCCGATGGCCCACTCCGCCCAGGAGTGCGCAGATCGGCTGTCCGGGGCCAGTCGCTGATCTATCAGCGATGGTTCGCCGCTTCTATGTCGATGCCCCCCCATGTGCCAGCCCCCCCCTAACGTTACCCCTCAGAGTTGAGGCGGAGGAGGGCATGTCCCCAAGGGCGCAGTCGAGGCAAGCGTTGGGGGCGGGGCTGTCATCTGGGCGGCGCCACCCCGCAGTCGAGCAGACCCACCCCAATCAGTCCTGGTGACAGGGTAGTAGGAGGAGAAGGGGGAGGAAAAGGAGGGAAGATGATGAGGGAGGAGGAGAAGGAGGAGTGCGCGCGATATCTGGAAAGTTCTTCCTGCTGTCCACTTCTCCTCCCCCTCCTCCCAGCCTCATCCTCGCCCATGGCTCTTACGTCGTCTGGCTTTTCACCCCTCTTCCCTATACCCCTACCTCCTCCTCCTCCGTGGCCCGTTGTTGGGTTTAGCCCTCCCCCTTTTGAGCAAAACTTTGCACGAGCACCCTGACAGGCCTCATCCCACCTCTCCGGTGTTTCTCTTCACACCCTTCTCCCTTGCTTCTCTCTCTTCACTCCCTTCTCCCTTGCTTCTCTTCCTTCCTCCTCGCCGTCATCCTCTCCCATGGCATACAGAACGTCATAGAGCCCCCAAAGTCTCTTCAATCATGTAGAGCGCGACAAACGCCTCCATGCGTCCCCTGCTCCATCCTCATACCTCCATTTCCTCCTCCTACCCCTCCTCCTCCTCCTCCTCCTCCTCCTCCTCCTCCTCCTCCTCCTCCTTCTCCTCCTTCAGTAGCCATTTTGGCTCAAGTGGGATACCTCCCCACTTGGGCCGAAATGGATTCCATTGCAATCTATCCCGAGGGCATCCGCTCCCAGCGTTTTGCCTGGCTCTTCCATAACCACTCGCGCCGCGCAGGCCCTGATGCGCTCGGATGCTGCGCGCTCTGGTGATCCCGTTGCTGCTGTTCGTGACCTGCTGCGGCTTCGTCATGCCCCACACGCGGTCGCCAGCCGCTCTTCATATCCGTCGTTGTCGGGCCTCTCAACGCGGCCTGCGTCGCAGTCGGGATGGTGAACTCGTCCATCTTCAGCTCGCTCTTCTTCTTCGCGATGATCGACGGGCACTACCAAGCCCCCCTAGGCAGCTCATCCCCCTCGGCGTGTGCACGAGCGACGAGCTGTCGCAGGTTGCACGCTACATCCAGGCACTCCGCGAGCGAGCTGCGCCAGTTCTGCATCCTGCTGACGGCGAAGGCGCTGGTGCCGACCATCACGTTCCACGGGCTGGCGCGGGACCCCTTCCATCACCTGCTCATGATGCGCCGCTCCGCCGAGGTGCTGGAGCACCCGTTGTACCTGCACCCGCTCTGCTACATGGCGCTGGGCCCCTTCCTCGGCTCGTCGCTGGCTCTCCTGACCTCGTCCTGCATGCTGCTGCCGCCGGTGGCTCCCGCCTGCGTGATGCTGGTGATGTGCCTGGCGATGGCCCACGTCCTCAACCCGCTCTGCTACTTGCCGCTGGGCCACTTCCTCGGCTCGTCGCTGGCGCTCCTGTACTTGATGTGCATGCCGCTGCCGCTGGTGGTGGCCGTCATCGTGATGAACTTTTCCTGCATGCCGCTGCCGCTGGTGGCGCCCGTCGCCGTGATGCTGGTGATGCTCTCGCTGCTCTCCGTCCCCTTGTCCGCGAATGGCACCGTGTCGTTCGGCGACTGACACTACTCCAGAACAGGCCCTTCTTCCGCTGCTTCGACGCGTGGCACGACTTCGCGTTCGACACCTCCTTGCCCTCGGATAGCGACCTGCCCAACGAGGATTCTTTGGTACTCGGAGTTGCTGCCGCTGGTGGCGAACAAGTGCATGACGTCGCTGCTGTGGGTGGCGATGGTGTTCGAGCCGCCCCGCTACCTGATGATGCTCTTCCTGATGATGACCCGTGTGCTGCTGCCGCTGCTGAAGCACACCTGCCTGACGTTCTCCCGCATGAAGGACACCTGCATGAAGAACACCTGCACGACAATCCTCACGGACACTTGCATGAAGTACACCTGTCTGGAGCACACCTGCATGACAATCCTCAAGAACACTCGCATGAAGTACACCTGCTTGCCGTTCACCTGCACGGAGAGCACCTGCATGAAGACGCTCGCCGCGATCCCCCCGAAGACGATCGACATGACTGGGCGGTCCCTGGCGTCGAGTTCCTTCGCCGATCCGCCCTTCTTCAACTCCGCTGCTGCTGCGCGGCTCATGCTGATCTGGCAGATCGTCTGGTGGATCCCGAAGAAGGCCTGCGCGTTGCTGCTCGTGCCGTCCCGCCGCCTGGAGTGCCTGACGCTGTACCCCACAAGCAAGCTCTTCCTGCCGCTGCCGCTGGTGGCGAACGACCCCGCCAGGCCGACCTCTCCACGCCCCCCTTCGATGTGAGTGCGGCGACGCTGAGTAAGCTGGAGGAGGCCGCCCGTGTCTGTCCCGAAGAAGCCCTGCATGATTCTGTTCGTGCCGTCCCGCCGCCTGGAGTGGCCGACGCTGTCCCCCACGAACATGCTCTTCCTGCCGCTGCCGCTGGTGGCGAAAGACCCCGCCAGCCCGCCCTCTCCATGCCCCCCGTCGACGCGACCGCGCCGACGATGAGTAGGCTTGAGGAGCCCGCTTGTGAATGTAGCCCCGCTGTCGGGGCCAGCCGAGTGCCCCCCGACAGGCCCTCTACTTCCCGCTCTTCCCCTTCGCCTTTGCCCCCCGTCCCTGCTTTCCCCACTTTCCCGGGCATCCCGCACGACCTACAATCCGCTCCCCGTGCATGGCCCATGCTCACTGCAGCATTGATGATGCCAGAGCGGCCGAGCGTCCATCCCCAAGTACAGGCCAACCACCGCCCTAGCCGATCTGCGCCGTGCTAGACGGACGTGTTCGCCTCAAGGTACGTTCACTCCTCCTCCTCCTCCTCCTCTTCGTCCTCCTCCTCTTCGTCCTCCTCCTCCACCCACTCGAACGCGACCTTATCATACTGCCCCTGCTTCTGCCCTGTCAAATCGTTTCCCCTTGCTGCTGGCATATCGGTTTGGGGCACGTAGGTCGGCCGCTCTCGGTGCCCTTGCCTATCACGTTTTGTTTATAACCGTGGCACTCCTGCTGCCGAAAAAGTACCTCAGTCACATCCTCATCCTTTACGTCCAATTAGTCGCGGAGCTTCGGTTTCCTTCCACGCGCCTCCATGGCGCCTCCGCGCTGCCCCGCTTCGAAGGCGATGGCTCTTCATCCTTATCGCAATACACAAAGACTTCGAGTTCGGCACCTTCATTGACCCCGTCTTATTCCCCCTGCTTCGCTCGCGGCGTGCAGGGCCGTGCTCGCCGCGATCGCGATCATTCCTCTGCCCGTCCATCGCCATGGGAAAGGGGCACAAGTACCATCACGAGGACTTCGACACCAAGGGCCGCGCACCCACCTCTCCGGCGCTACCCTCTTGGTTTGATCGGAGTATGTTTGAGCAGCTTGCGGACCCATCGTCATGATTGGATTTGCCTGTGAGTGCAAGTTCAGACGTCAGACAGTTGCTTGACGCAACGTCCACGTCTACGGTGCTTGCGAAGGGCCCCGATCTACCTGCGGCCATGTTGCAGGAGTCTGGAGGGGAAGAGGCAACGGACACTACGCCTCCATTGCGCCCGCTTGTAGGTGTAGCCAGGGTTGTCAGACAGTCACTGGATCCGACGTTCACACCAATGCCGTTGGCGGCAAGTCCCAGGCTTTTGCGACTGTTGCAGAAGCCAAGGGTGGCGCAGGCAGGCAATGACGAAAATATAATGGAGGGTCCGTCGACTATGTCTTCGGCTCTCCCGGTGACTGCGCAACGTATCTGGGATTATTCGTCCTCGATACCCTGGATCATGACCTTCCACGCCACTCACGCACTCCCTGCCGCCTTGCAGAACTGGATCCTTACGCGGATTCCTCTTGACTATGTCACAGTTGGTGGTGCTCAGTCGAGTGACTACGCGACGCGCGACGAGCACTCCCACGATTATGTTGCGGGTTGCTCTGGGTGCCTTTTCGCGCGCCAGATCTTCGACAGGTGAACGTGCCCAATGCGTTGACGGGGAGGAGCATTCCCCGGACAAGTACTACCTACGGCTTCGAGGTTCTTTACTTGAGCATCGCCGTTGGTGGGTTCCAGGACTCCAGTGACTCCACTCCAGATGGAAGGCCATCGGAGTGGGCATGGTCGCTGCCGCCAGCTGCGTCGCCTGCGTGGGCGCGGGCGGTTGTGGCAGCGGCAGCAATGCGGCGCGTCTGCACCTGGGGGCCCGAGCAGCAAGCTCGCGAGCACTTGCAAAGCTGGGCGCGGGAGGTCATGACCTGGTCAGCGGCGAACTCCGCCCGCAAAAAGTTCCGCAGTGCGGCAAACATCTTGTCGCGCCTGGCCGGCATGGCGCGCGAGTGCGTGGCCGAATGGCCGCCCGCTGTCCTGATCCAGGGAGGTCACATCAACGGCAACCCAGCGCCGCCCATGACCTTCCCCACGCACAGCCCGGCCCTCCGCACCTCCGCAACAGGGCGCAGCAGGCCGTTCAGTTCATGATCGGCCACGAGGGCCTCGGCTACCTCTAGCTGCGCGCAGTGGGCGCGTCGAGCATCCAACTTGCCATGATCTCGCAGCGCCGCGACATGGCCTGCCCCTCAAACGCACAGCAGCTGTCTCGCATGACCTGGTCAGCTGCGACGGCGTGGGCACATGGTCAAGGTCTCGGCGGGCAACGCCGCCTCGACCGTTCCCTCGACCCAACGCCAGACGCTCCTCGCGGATGCGACCGCGCAAGATCAGTCTCAGAGGGTCGACGGCAACGCAGCTGGAACGACCTGGGATGGCATGGGCCCCGCTGCCCCACGAGCGGCACCGAGCCCGCCTGCAACTACAGCGAGTGCCGACTTCGGGGCGGCACCATCAGCGCAGGTGGCACGCCCGCCAGAAGGCGTCGATTCAGGCGTCGATTCCGACGCTATCAGTTCGTTCGGCGAAGATATCGCGGCTGACGACCCCGAGCTGCGCGGCGCTCCAGTGACGCGACGCGGCGCACCTTTTTTCTTGGCTTGCGAAAGCGCTAAGCCCCGATGGCGCAGCCTCAGCAATCAGAAGCTCGCCCGCCACGTCCCGATGATCTTCTATCGCGGAGGCAAGCCCTGTTATTATGCCGTTGCACTTTGGTTACAATGGCACGCTTGAAGTGATTTTCTTGCTGGGCTGCAAGTCTGCGCCCGCGGATGGGAGAGCGTCGATTTCGTTCTGACTGGCGCAATTTTCTCAGGCGCGTCTCAACCCTTTTGGAATTGCCACTTCTTGAAGTGGTTAAATTTTGCATTTGGGACCGACTAACGTGAGACCCGAGTGTGCTGCTGCGACTTGGATTTCATTTGGTCGTTTCCATAAGTGCCGTCGCATGACGGAGCGGGTCGCAACCCCTGCCCAAATCAGATCGGCAGGTTCCACGAGGCGCCCAGGTATTAACACAAATCTAATTCACTGCTGGAGCCCAACAATTTCATTCGCATTCTGGCCCAACATGGATCCTCGCTAAAAAAAAACTCTGGAAATTGGGTTTTGACCTTGCATTTCGACTTTCACGTGTGGTTTATGGCAGACCGATGCGTGGTTCTCATTTTGCACGCGCGGGGTCTCTGTCAGAAAACGAACGAGACGACCAGTTTTAAATTCCAAAAAGTAGTTGGCGGTCGCGCGGCTTGCTGCTTCATATGTATGGTCGCACGGGCGCGCGGCAAAACATGCAATGTTTCGCAATATGGTGTCTCATGTTGAGGCCCACATTACATGTGTAACGATTTGTTTTCAACATTTAGTTTTTGGGGCGGCGCGTCTCACCCGTTCGCTTCTCCCATTGATTTGCGCGTGGCGCCGCGCGCCCGCGAACGTGAGCGCACGCCATAAGAACGGTGCGTTGTTTGAAACTTGTTGGCCCCATGTTGATGCCCTTGACGTGGTGAAACGCATTGCTTTAACCATTCAGTTCTCGGGTGGCACGTGTCGCCCGCTTGCTTATTTTCATTCGTTTGCGCACAGCGCCGCGCACGCGTGCATCAGAAATGCGTATTGTTTCACAATGTATCATTTCATGTTGGGGCCCGAGGTACAAGTGAACACGATTTGTTGTTCACCACTCAGCTTCCAAATTTCTAGACGTTTCGCGTCACCCAACCAGCCCATCCAGAGACGATGCCCAGAGGAGTTGCCTCGATCAGAGAAGTTGGCAGCACGCAGATGAAAGGGTCCCTGTTGGAGCGCTCTTGGGACACTCTTGGGCGCTCGTGGGGCCGTCTTGGGGCTCTCTTGGGCCTCTCTTGCGTTTTGGGGGCCTCTTGGCGGTCCCAGGGGCCTCTTGGAGCGTCTTGGGGGGCCTCTTGGGGTTCCTTGGGGATCTCTTGGGAGCCTCTTTTAGGCCTCTTGGGCGCCTCGTGGGGCCTCCTGGGCGCCTCTTGGGGCCCTCTTGAGGCGCTCTCGGGAGCCTTGGGGGCGGTGTAAGGGCCATCTTGGAGGACATCGATCAAACAAGAGGGAAGTTGTTTTTAGCGTTGCCCCTCGGGAGCCCCCAAAGTCGCCTCTTGGGGCGGTCTTGGGGCTCTCTTGGAGCGCTGTTGGGCGCCCTTGGTGCCGTCCTAGGGCTCTCTTAAGCCTCTCTTGCGCCATCTCGGAGCCTTGAGGCCTCGGAAGCGAAAGGGCGAGATATCAAACAAACAGTGTTTTCCCCAAGGTTTTGGAAGGAGATTGTCCTCTTCGGGGCCTCCTGGGGGAACTCTTTGGCCACTTGGAGCCGTCTTGGAGCGGTCTCGGGGGCCTCTTGGAGCATCTTGGGGGCCAACTTCAGGCATCCCGGAGTATCTTGAGCCATCCTGTAGGTCATCTTGGGCTCTCCGAGGCGCCTTTGGACCCATCTTGGGCCATTTCGGCCGCTCCAACGCGTCGCGGCCCCCCCCCGTCCAGGTCAAGGGGAGGGGGTAGGGGGAGGGGTAAACCCCTCCCCGAAGGGGAAGAAGGGGGTCGGAAGAGGAAACGCCCCAGACCACCTACGCCCAGAGGGCTGGTGAGATCACTTTGCCATGATCCTATTAGCCTCGGCGTGGCACCCTACGCGCGCGGGTGCGCGTACTCAGAAAAGCGTAGCGTCTCTCCCAAGTAGACGGTGCCTACACACTGAGCGCCTCTCAAATTGTTCATACCATATCTGCCCATGCATTATACTCTCCCCTCTTTCCCTCTCCCTCTCTCCCTGCCCCTGTTGCAATGTCAATAGGTGTATCGACCTTACGCTGCCCTATATGTTCTCTGTACTCTATGTGATATAGGCTGTCCTGTTGCAGCTTGGAACCCAGAATGCAGGTGACA